AAAACATTTTTATATCAAATTAGCAAAAATACCTATTTTACCCATTTCAAAAATGGCACAGGGTATAGGAACAGTTAATGGCCAACACAAGCGGCCCACAACAAAAGACAACATTAATTACGACATTCGTTTAATGGCTGTAAATATAATGGCCGTTAATCTTGTTGACTTTAATATTAGATATGGGCGCATGAAAAGCTTTCAACTAACTTTGCCTGCAATTGATTAAATTACAATTGCATACATACATATACATATGTACATATAAAGAGAATATATATTATGGATCTGGAACTCGGTTCGAAGCATCAACCGAAGGTCATTTCTTGTTTTTGTTTTTTTCCCACAACGCGAATGTGAGTTGTTGTTGAGATTTCTTTCCTTTCATCTCTTGCTCTCATTCATAATGCAAAAGTTCCATTCTGTGCATCATTTATGCGGTAAAAGCTTGCCACGCCCACACCCACACACTTTCAGCGAACTACGCACTTAAAAGCCGTGGCTGCTTCGCATATTATTATCCTTGTGCCAGATTGATTTTAAAAGCACGTAGTTGCAGTTGCCTTGGGTATGTTTATAATACAGAATATGGTGGATGTAGCTGAGTACCTGATTAATATTGAGTTTATGAATTTATGTATCAGGTTATATCAGCACTAGCCATCCTAATCTATTCTCATATTTCAAATGAGACAGGATATATGAAAGTCGTGCATACCTTGGCATATCAGTGGCTTTGCACTGCTTGTTTTTAGTTGTTGTTCGTTGTTTCCCTTATTGATTTTTCTTTTAGCGCACAGCAATAAAACAAAATAATAAAAAAAAGAGGAAGCAAAAGGAAAACCAAAACAAAAGAAAATGTTTTTTAATTGCATTATGCAGGGCATTTCCCAACAAGTGGGCGGGCAACGGGCCAGAGGACGACTTAATTTCATTTGCTGCGCCGGGCAGGATGCATGTGGTATCTGACTGTGGACAAGGGCGCTAGGGGCGTGGTGGATATCTGTGTGTGGTTGTGGGGCTCGGCATTGTGGACTTAATAGTTCGAACTTTGCTTTACACTGATTTACACACACAGCCAGCGACAGAGAGAGAGAGAGAGAGAGAGAGAGAGAGGGATAAGAGGTAGAGTGAGAAAGAGCGATATAATGGAACCTGATGGCTTTTCACATTTCCGTTCATTTTCATTTATTTTGTTGCAGGCCTTTCCTGACTATGTCTGCGTATTTTTGTGTGTGTGTATATACACATACATATGCGGGAAGTCGAAATTAGTTCAAGGATTTGCCAACTTTTTGGGATGTTCTATATATATACTGTGTACATAATAATTACCTTTTAGAGCCAACACAATAGCAAATCCAGCGCAAAGCGTATTCCAAATTTGTTAGCATGAAAAGCATATGTAATGCAGCTAAGCCACAGGCTCGACTAGCAGATATCCTCTAGTTAAATGGAATGTGGATACCATGTAGAATTAGATTTACGCGGCACATACTAATAATAATGGGTGGTAAAAGATTCGAATTAGGCATTTTTACACTAAAGTCAGTATAAATCTAAATAAAATATATTCTTAGCCATTTATATCAGACTAAAACTTTATATACCGCTCTCTACCCTGCTCAGCTATAATGCTGTAACAGTTTATCTTTATAGCATTCTTTACAAATACCTGAAACGCCATGCTGTTCACATCTGTTTTCGCTGCATTCTTTCACTGAGCACCGAGCCAATAACCACATATACATACATACATATATATAGAGCTTGCATTATATAAAATTCTACGTGAATTATAGGACAAAACAGATCAAACTCCCTTCTTCACTAAATACCCTTGAACGCCTTGCTGTTTTTATCTTTTCTTTAACACTCATTGTTCCACTTCCAGTTACAGTTCATAAATCAGCTTGTCCTTCGGCGTGGGCATCATCAATTTGGTAAGCCAGGTAGACCAAGGCAAGGCCAACTCCCCCATCGGCTAAGCTACAGCGAAATAAATCGTTGATGTGGCACGTGGCGCATTTGGTTATCGCAGCTATCGCCGTGCGCCGACTGCCAACAGCCACTGTCTGACCGAGAACTATTAGCAAATGTACGGCCAATAAACTAAATGCTCAGCATCTGACAGTTCAATTAACTTCCCAGACTTCCCAGATGCAAAACTATATAAAGGATTCTTCCAGAAGCGCACCTAAAAATGCTAATCATCTGCTCATTAAATGCGCATCAAGCAACGCAATGCTGGCTCCCAGGCTCCTGTTAATGACAGCACACCAGCCGAAAGGTCCACGCCCACGCCCACTAGCGACACCCCAGCTGCGACAGTTGGCCCGGGCCAAGCTGCTGCTGCTGCTGCTACAGCTGTTGCCTGAAAGTTGAGCAAAAATTTGGCAAAAGAAAAAAGAAAACAAAAACGAAGCATGAGCAGGAGAAGGCAGGGCAAAGCAGGCGGAAGGACAACTGAGGGACGTTCTCGGTAGCTGTTGTCCCTGTGCAGACATCTAACTGTCTGTGAAACGGGCCTCAGCTAGCAAAATATGTATATAGATACATAACTGAAAGGCGCCTGCTGTCAAATCATCTGTTTAAATCGATTTTCCTTTTCCTCGTGCGTGTGTGTGTCTATGTGTATGTGTGTTTGGGTGTGCCTTAATGTGCGTTCTCTTCCCTTTTTTTTCGTTCAACGAGAAAGTGGAAGCTGCGACCCAACAAAACTTTTGACTGCAAAACTTTTGTTTGGCTGATGAATGCAGCTTGCTTGAAAAAAACCAAGAAAATAAAGAATCCCAAGTATGATTAGCCATAGAAAATATAAAAATGCAGAAAACCAGAAAAGAAAAGCCGCACAAGAAAAGGCCAAAAGAAGAAAATAAGCTCAGTCGTAAAAAATCGAGCTTAAGCTTGAACAAGTTGAGCAAAAAGAAAATTATTCATCAAAATGGCAAGGATAAGAAATAAGAAATGAAAAGTAGAAAAGGATGAGAGAAAAAATAAATGAATATATAAATCTTGATCTGCTATCTATGCAGAACTAAACTAAAAGTAATTTTTAATACGAGAAAATGTATTTCATTTATGAAAAGGCTATTAGAATTATTTATAAGCAGCCGCTCAAGCAAGCGATTTATCCAGCCAGTCGATATGAAAATTATAATCAATTTAGGATCTTAATATTAATTCCTACAAATGTGAAGTATTCAGAAATGTATTTGTTATAATTTATTATTATTCATCTCTTATTGTGACTTTAACTGCATTATGAAATTTTTTTTCGTATTTGAATTTGTTTTATTAAATATATAATTTTTATTTTATTTATTTATTTTTATTTTTATTTTTTGAATAAATTGCGAAGTTCAACTTTAAGAAATATATATTTATTTTTATTATTTCTAAAAAAAATATATATAGTTAAGTTTTTTACTATAAGTATTATTGCTCATATTTTTTAATTATTTATTTTAAATATTTTTTAGTTTAAAGTATTAGTATATCTATTATATTTGAATTTTTGGGTTTTCATTTTTTATTTATTTATTTATTTATAACAGCTTTGCGACGTCTAACTTAATTGACCCCAAAATAAAACAGCGCCGCAAATTGCCTAAAAGCTCAAAATATAGAAGAAGAAGAAACAGAAGAAAAAACTGAACACCTAAACAAATCGCAGATCCAATCGTAGATCTGCAGCCGCCTACGGCCGACAATTTTCGCTCATTAAATAAATCAAAATGTGTTGACCATAAAAGTCAATTTTTGTTTGGTTTTTGCTTGTGTTTTTTGTTATTGTACCTGCAATTTAAATAATCAATTTATGCAAATGTGGAGAAATGATCAGAAATTATAGTTGGCCAAAACAAAACGAAAAACAAAATAAATCTAAAAACAATGTCAATTTGTGGGCCGACAAAAAATTCGAGTGACTCAAGAGTGACTGACAAGAGCTTTACATATGGACGCGAATTTCAGATTTAGTTTAGATTGCAATATCCAAGATATTTGAAGTATTCTCCAATTATGGGATGAGGAAAACGAGGAGAAATCTATGCAGCTAAAATTAAGTTGTTAGTTTACTTAACTAGAGCTAAAGAAATCTTACCAGACAATAATATAACTTTTATAACTGTACACGGGCCAATTGTGCATACGTATGAACCGTGTTTATTCACTGATTTTATCTGATCTGATATGATCAAAGATGATCTGCGCTTTGAGCAGAACGTGTCATATGAAAAGACAGTAATTAAAATTCCCGGGCGAGGCTGCAATGAGCGTTACGTGACCTGGGCACATGCTAAAAATATGTAGTTAATGCCTATCTGATAAAAAGCTGAAAATAATAACAACTCTTATTAAAATCAAAATACGACGAGCAAACACGCAAAATTTTCAATATTTTAGTTATGCAAGCGAAACAGCGGGGGAGAAGCATGTATTACTATAAAACAAAATGCGAAAGATGGGGCCAGCTCGTGCCATAACAAAGATCAAAAACTAGAGTGACGACTATGAAAGAGAACTGAGCTTTAAAGCATATTATTGTTTCATAATTTAAATATTTGTTATTGTTTTTGTAGCTTTGCTATGTAAAAACCTCTATTATTATTTTTATAGCCTAAACACTGAATTGTTCTCTTCAAACAGACCTGACTGTACCACTAATATGAGTTACTTTTATTTGCCGCTATCAATTTAAATGCTGATAGGGAACAGTTTCTATTTCTCGACTGGCTGCTCTCGCAATAATATAATTTTTTTATATTTTATAATCACATGCGAAGGTCGCAGCTGAAGAGCAATAAAAATGGTTGTTGCTGCTGCGATAAGGCCAAACATGAATGATCACCAATATGAGAATGAGCAAACATTAACATTCATGTTAAACTCTCATACAGACAAATATGTACATATATGTATTCATTTTACATTGTTTTTATTTTTTGAAAGTCTTATACGATTTATGCATTTAACATAGGCGTAGCTGGAATACTGACCTTTTACTTAGTTGTTGTCTGTGCAGCTGATGTTGTTGTAGTTGTTGTAGTTGTTGTTGTATTGCACAGCTTGTTTACTTTTTGCTTTGCGTTGCTCTTCTTTCGTCGTTGTTGTTATTGTTTTTATCGGCATTCGGTAGATTTTTCGTCAAGTTTTCGTTCTCGTTCTCGCATAGTAGGGTTTTGGTATTTTTGGCCTAAAAGGACGAAACTTTGTGCGCTCTCTCACTCGCTCTCTCTCTCCTTCTCTCTGTGTTTGTAGCCCGCGCACACTCAGCAAATTGATTTTCACTTTTGGCCAAGACTGTCAAAAAATAACACACACAAACACATACAGTCGCAACACAGGAATTTTCACTTGTGCCACTTTTTTTCGCTGTTTTGTTTTGCTGTTGTAGTTTTTGTTGCATGCGTTGTTTTAGTTGTTGCTGTTATTGAACAGGTTTGCATTGGCTATACAAATTCTTCACCTGGGCCAAAAAAAATAATCAAAGTAACAGCAGCGAAGCCGGCAGCGGCTGCGGTAGCGGCAACAACAAATTCCAACTGCCTTTTCCTGCTGCCTTTTCTTTGCACAAATACAGGCACACAGAAACGGACACACACGCACACTCACTAACACAAACAAATACGCAGAAAGCAACAAAAATTCTTTCGCTGCCTTTGGTTTTGCCTTCCTTTACTTTGCTTTTGCCTTTGCTTTTGAGTTTTTGATGCTGTTGTTGTTGTGCTACTGCTGATGCTGCTGCAGAGGCGAACCGGTTTTGTTTTTGCACTTCACTTTGTATTTGTTGGCTTTGCCTGATGGTGCTGTTGCGCTCCAGCCTGCAGTTGACAACAATTCAGAAATTGATTAAACTTAATTGAAATTTAATTTGTATTGCAAAAAAATCCGCTACAGTTGCACTCGGCGGTTTTTTCTCTTTGATTCCCATGCGTATGCACCGTTATTCCGTTTTCGATTTGTTTCTCCTTTGCACACCTACACGAAATCACTTCTTTCTCTATTGCTGTTTCACTCGCACTCGATATTTAGCCGCTCACATCGCCGCGACGCGCTGACACCAACCATTCTAAATCGAAGTCGTATGCAGACTAAACGCTGCTCTTATACCTGCAATGTAAAGTACCGCTGCTAAACTCAAAATGCTTGTGCCGCGTTAACAGAAAACTTCTCTCATACTACTGACCCGAGACTCTCGACGTACTTAACAGTGGCAGAGCGCACATTAAATAACATTTCTGCTAACCTGCTAATTTTTTTTTTTTTTAATTTCTCAATAGTTTATTAAATGCAAACAATTTAAAAATATATTAAAATATATTGTTTATTGTGAAACTTACTCGTATTCTATGTACAAAGGCACATTCACTTAGTACCCAATAAATATATCAAAGATACATAAATTGTATTTCAATTAATTTACAAATAAATTAAGTTTTCTTCATTTGGTAACAAAAATGTATTAATTTTACTTTTGATTTATTCGGCAACAGTCCATATAAAAGTTATTTATCGCTTCCGAAACTTGAAGTTTTTCCACTTTGCAAACGGGCTCTAAAATTGATTTCGTTTAGTTCATACTTGCTAATAAATTATATATACTTATTTACTATTATTGACATATTTTCTATTGCTGACAACAATTATGTCCACTGTTTTCGATAGTTGGAAGATGTTACTCTCTATCCCCTACAGATTAGTGAAATACATGGCTTCTGTTCCGATTTCAAGTCTACATGAGATTTTCTTTGATTGAATAAATGGTCAATGCAGAGTGGGATCTATATATTGCACAGATCTTTGTTATCCATTCTCTGTATTTTTGCTATTCACCTGCTCATTCCACGCGTCTTTGCCGAGTTTTTTTCAATCAAGAATTGAATCGTTCGATCGCTTTAATATTAATTTCATTCGATTGAATTTTACTTGCTCCGCTGTTGTGTTTCATTTGAAGACTGAACATATCATTGTCCTGTATTGTGTTTCCTTTTTCCAACTAAATGCAGCTGCACCTGGTTATGAATACCTCCAATTCCGGTTGCCAGAATATAGATCTAAAATTATTATCAGATTAGAAGTGTATTAAAAGATAAAAGTTTTTACTATATTTATATATATATATATCTCTCTCTCTCTGTCTTTGCATGATATCTCACATGTGAAGATCGCTCGGTGGCTTGCGTTTTGTGTAGTGATGTTACAGGTTCTGTTTGACCACCTCTGCGGGCAAGAGCTCCACAGGAATCAGGCGAAAGGCTTCCCCCTCCAACGAGACATTACAATACATTTCGCCTGGTCTGGGCTTCGCTTGCGGGCTCAATGGCGTCACCAATTGCAGCACCGTAACTGGTCCCACAATTAATTGCTCCTTCTCCTGCTGCTGATTACTTTCCACGAGCTTCTCCTTTGTTGCTTTCAGCGGTTCCGTTGGTCGCTTTTGCTCCATTGACTCTTCCACTGACTCTTGATCTGGGTTTGACCCTTCATCTGGCTTTTCAAAGTCCTCGTAGGCAAGAACTTTAATAGTGTGTTTGTTTATATCCTCCGTCGGATGCTTTTTGCTCATATGGCGCTTCAGATGGGCACGCGTGGCTGCCGCGTAGGCACAACAAGGGCAAAGAAATCTCTTGGAGCGCCAGTGCTCCTTGCCGTGGGTCTTTTCGTGGCGCTGCAGATTGTATAGCCGTTTGCTCGAATACGAGCATTTGGGCACAGTGCAGCGAAATACAATGGAAAACTTTTTGTTTTTAATAACTTCCATCACTTAATTATAATTCAAATAAAAATGAAATGTAGGTAAATTTAACTTTTATTATGATGCGCAGGCGATAGATAGTCATCCGATAACTGGTGGCGGCCAACCGATAAATTACTCACACAGCATTGTTACATCTGATATTTATACCATAAAATATCTCATATATAAATTAATGTTAAATTTAAAGACATATTTATATTCAATTTACTTTAATTTTGTTTTTATATATAATTCAATTTATGATATATCTTAAAATAAATGCAATAGAAACTTTTCATTATAAAATACTGCAAAAATACCAATCGTACTTTTGAATTGAATTTTACAGTCTGTTAGGTATACATAAATTTTATTTGCACAGTTTAACTCTTCACTGTTAATTTTTCTGTGCTATGCTAAGACTGACTCTCTTAAGCTGTTGAATGCCAGCCGTTTACTTTAAGTTATACTATTTTAACTGAGTAGCTGTTACCATTTATGTTATTAGAATGCTGTCACTGTTATTAGCTCTTATATGCTGTTATTGATAAATACTCGGAGCATCTGTTACATTGTTAACAGTCTGTCAAAATAAATAACTGTTTTGGCTGCCTTCGCTGCACTTTGATTGGCCACTTTTTCATCGAGCGCAAATAACATCGAAGTGGTCACAGATCCATCCAACACCCACCACAAGTTCTGGGTCACTTGGGCACTTTTTGCCTTTACCTTTAAGGTTTTGCCCTGCAACAGCTGTTGCTCGGGTGAGGCGGCTGACTTCGATTGCCTTCGCCTTTTATTGTTGGATGACAAAGAGAAAGCAATAAAAACATTTGTTGCCGGACATTAGCCGCTTTGTTGTAACGGTTAAACTATTCTATTTCTTGGGGCGTCTTTTTTAATTGTGAAGTTAGAATAAATAGGTCTTTACTTGTTCCTTGTAATTCTTAGCATTTGAAAGTTCATAATGAATAATTGTATTTAGATAATAAATATATATTTAAAATATTAAAAATAAATCATCCTTGTATAAGCGTATATGTACATATGTACACAAATTGGAATTTATAGTTGTAATATTTTTAAAAAGATTTTTGTTGGTTAATTTTTGTTTTCTTTGTTTTTTTTTTTTTTTTTTTTTTTTTTTGTAATTGTATTATCTTTTTTACAACATTTTAGTCTAATATTTTTTTTTACATGTAAATAGTATATATAAGAAGGTTTTTTTTTATTATCATTTTAATTCATATATGCACTTTTTATATGTAACGAGAATGCAACACAATGTAAAAATAGTAATATTAATACACATATATGTAATTTAAATATATATCTTAGATTTTGTATTAATAATTTTTAATGTAGAACTAGATTAAGCTGCCACTAAAGGTAGCAGTAAGCTAGTTAATAAAATAGAAAAATTTTTACAAAACAAAAAATAATAATTAAAAAAAAAATACTCTAAATTTACTGTTAAGTTTCAATTAATTTTATGAAATAGCAATAATTTTTGATCTTATACTCTTACATATATTTATAATTATATATTATATATTTTTATATATTTTTAAATAATTAGTATAGTCTTAAAAAATAAAAATTTTTATTTCTTTATGCATATAGTCTATCAAACAAAATAAGGAAACATGGGAACGAAATGGATATATATATATATATACATACATGTGTTTGTATATAAATACATATATTGTAAATCTAAAACTTTTAAGCGTTTTCATTAAATTATTATTATTATTATTATTTTTTTTTTTTTTTTTTTTTTTTGCAAATCTCATTTTTTCTGCATTTATGTAAATCATTTTTCGTTTCGGGCAGGAAATGAAAATGTTGCAATAAACGTGAGCCACGGCCTGAACCCAAAGGTCAAACGCAAGCGGGACGAACTGGAACTGAGTTGGCCAAGTGGCCAAGTGGCCAAGGTACCAGCAGGTAGCTCCTCCAGTGTGAAATGTAGCATGCAATGAGTTTCATTAGCCCCCACTGCAGCCACTTATCATCCACCCCTCTTTGCTCTCCTGCCAACCATCCCCTACGCTACGGCCTCCCTCCCCTTCCCCCTCTCCAACACACTGCAAATTTTGCACACATGAATTTTCCACGCAAAAGCTTTCAAATTTCACGCCCTATTAGATAGCTCAGCATGTGGGATGGGGGTGGAGAGGTTGAGGTTGAGGTGGTCACGCCCAGCCACCCAGCCGCCCAACTTCATTGACCAGGCAATTATCAGTGCTCGCTCCTGATTAGAGGCCAAAGGCTCTCAAATGCAGAATTCGAATTTCGTAGCTCGACTGCAGCGAAGTCGGTTTTGCGCCCACTTCCGTTTCCGCTTGCCCAAATCGCCGCTGACAAAGGCGAAATTTATAATGCGGAATAAAGCCTAAATGTCATGTGAATAGCAGCAGTGGGCGCTGCGCTAGATAACAAAAGACAGGCCAGTTATTTAACGGCAAAATGTAGATAACTGTAGTAGTAGTAGAGAAAGTCCTAAATAACATTAATTATTTTTTTATTATTAATCAGAATATTTTGCAGACTAACCTCATGATAAGTGATATTCATATTATAAGATATAATTATATATGTTTTGCGAAGAATTATTTTGTGGACCTTAAATTATGTAAGCTGTTACTTATTATATTATATATTATTGTTATATTATATTATATTTTATCTGATATATAAAACCAATAAACGAATAATAACAATAAACGATTAATAATATGTATTACATAAGAATAGATTTACTTTCAGCTAACAGAGGTTTTCAGATTCCATTTTAAATATGTTTCAAACACTGCAATTTTTATCATATCCGCTAAACGAAACTTAATTTATAATTTGTTTAATTTTCGACAGCAACAACAACAAAATGTTTGCAAATGGGTCAAAAGGCGCCGCCGACTCGTGTTTGGAGGTTGTACAAGAAGTTGTTGTTGTTGTTGTTGCTAATCTGGTTGTTAAACAAGTAAACAAAATGTGACCAAGTGCCCAAAGCGACCATAAAGTAAACGTCTCAGCGTCCAGACGATCAGCTGAAAGGAGTTGAACAAGAGAGAGAAAGGGAGAGAGCAGTAGTGTGAAGAGAGGGAGGGAGAAGCGAGGTGTGGAGCTTGGCAACGCAGCGAACTGAAGTGGAAGTAAGCCGTGTTTCGTTTTTCACAGAAGACGCGTCTGGGGAAAAAGTTTCAAATTAGCAGAACGCACACAGAGAGAGTGAGCGAGAGAAAGATAGATAGAGAGTGAGGGAGAGGGAGTGTGGTAGAGGCAAATTTTGTGTATTTTATTTATTTTTTGTTGGGTAGCTTTATTTGTTGTTCCAAGGAAAAGGCAGCCGTTAGCAGCTA